TTGACCAGGATGGTCTCGATCTCTTGACCTCGTGATCCACCCGCCTCGGCCTCCCAAAGTGCTGGGATTACAGGCTTGAGCCACCGCGCCCGGCCTGTGTCACCTAATTTATGCTCACTTGCCTTCTAACACAGAGAGGAAAAGGTATATGAATGACTGGATGATCCTTGGATATACAGAAAAATGTGAAACACTCTTCAACTTGCACCCACTGAATGCAAAACTACCTTCTTGAAAAAAAAGCGTACATTAAAGTATAGCAAAAGGCTACAGGATCTTAATCAATGAACTTGAATCCTCACAGTGTGAACAATTACCTGTGCATGCACTAAAGAGCTTCATTTTACTGTAAGGAGAAAAAGCAAATATATTAACAGTTATTAAAGAAAGCCCTTAGCCGAGAAGAAATGTATTCCTTCTCCTTTCTAATCCTTTATGTTTTTTTTTTTTTGAGACAGGGTCTCACTATGTTGCTCAGGATGGAGTACAGTGCACAATCTTGGCTCACTGCAACCTCCGGCTCCTGGGTTCAGGTGATTCTCCTGCCTCAGCCCCCTGAGTAGCTGGGATAACAGGTGCCCACCACCATGCCCGGCTAATTTTTGTATTTCTAGTAGAGACAGGGTTGGCCAGGCTGGTCTTGAACTCCCAACCCCAAATGACCTCCCAAAATGCTACAATTACAGGTGTGACCCACTGCACCAGGCCTAATCCTTTTTATTTGACTTCAAAGAAAAGCTGTATGTGAGGAAAGGTGGTATAAATAATACTGCACGTACTATCCACAGGCAGAAATCTGGGTTTTCTGGGCTGGGATCGATGGAGAGCCAAGAAAGGGAGTCTCGGTGGAAGGACAGATTGAAGACAAGCCGTGGCTGAAAGAGTTCTGAAAACTCACTAGAGAATTCAAGTAAAGAAAATGAGGCCTCATAATCTCTGGGGCTCTGGAAGCTGCTAGCAGGATGAAAGCCACGTGACTGGAGTCTTTGGTTGATTTCATCAGACAACCACAGAGTAGAGCTGGTAAAGGAACAACTCCTGGGAGAGATGTGATGCAACGGACTTGGGTAATCAGCTACACACCTGGTTTTTTTGTTTGTTTGTGGGGGAGGGGGTAGAGAAATGAAGAGCAGTAAAGTGGGGCTTCTGGAGGTCCCTGGTCAGTTATTTCAGTACTAGGCAGGCCAACTACAAGGGCCTTTCTATTGACCTCAGGATTGCTCCTGTCTAGTCTCCAGGGTTGATCTCCCCCTAAATATCCCTCCTCCTACTGTCCTCTCATAGGCAAGGGATTAAAGATGTAACAGAAGGAAACTCATGTAGATACAAGAATTTAAATATCAGGATAGAAGTGGCATTTCAAATCAGTGAGAAAAGAGTCTTCTAGTCTTTAAATGGTATTAGAACAACTCGATATTTTCTGGGGGGAAAAAAGTCTCAATTTACACTATTCATGATAATGAATTCCATATGGGTAACAGGCCAAAATGAAAAAAATGAAATTAAAGTATTAGAAAAATTATAGTTAAATCACGCTTGTAATCCCAGTACTTTGGGAGGCCAAGGCGGGTGGATCACAAGGCCAGGAGATCAAGACCATCCTGGCTAACACAGTGAAACCCTGTCTCCACTAAAAAATACAAAAATTTAACCAGGCATGGTGGTGGGTGCCTGTAATCCCAGCTACTCAGGAGACGGGGCAGGAGAATCACTTGAATCAGGGAGATGGAGGTTGCAGGAAGTCAAGGTAGTACCATCACACTCCAGCATGGGTAACAGAGTGAGACTCCATCTAAAAAAATATATATATAGTTAACTAAAGTTGCAGAACACCAAGCAGCTGCTAAAACAACCCTAAAGGAAAACAAACATTAGATGGTACATGA